ATAATATAATAATAATAATAATTATTATTATTATCATTATTATCATCATCACTGTCATTACAATGATAATAATATAACAACAACAACAATGATAATAATAATAATAATAATGATAATAATAATAATGATAATGTTGATAATAATGATGACAATAATAATAATGATAATGATAATAATAATAATAATAATAATAACAATAATAATAATAATAATAATAATAATAATAATGGTAATAATAACAATAAAAATAATAATAATAATGACAATAGTAATAATAACAATAACGATAATAGTAATAATAAAGATAATGCTAATGATAATAACAATAATGATACAAATGATAATGATAATAATAATAACAATGATAATAATGATAACAATAATAATAATGATAATAATAATAATAATGATAATAATAATAATAATAATAATAATAATAATAATAATAATAATAATAATGATAATAATTGCAACAATAATAATAATGATGATAATAACAATAATAACCAAAATATAATAATAATAATAATAATAATAATAATAATAATAATGATAATAATAATAATAATAATAACAATAATAATAATAATAATAACAAAAAAAAATTATTATTATTATTATATTAGTAATAATAATCATCATCATCATCATCATAATAATAATTATCATCATCATTATAATTATTGTTATTATGACAATGATGGTAATAATAACAGCAACATGATGATGATGATGATGATGATGATAATGATGATGATAATAATAAAAATAACAGTAATAATAATAATAGTACGAGAATAGTTATAGTAATGGTAATAATTATAATTATAAAAATGATAAAATGACTATCATAGTAATAATATGAATAATATCAATAGCAACAATAATAATAATTATTATTATAATAACAACAAAACAGTAGTAATATAGATATCAATAACAACGATAATAATAACAATAGTTAATAGTATAGATATTATTATCATCATTATTATGGTAAACCATATAATGACCTACACAGAAAAAATCGAGAAAGATACCAAAGGTATAAACACAGCTAACAACGGAAGAGAAGGTAGAAAATCAACACCCGGTTAGGCAGTAAAAACAGTAATAATAACAATAATGATTATGATGATAGTAATGATAACGATACTTGGACTCGGTGTTTCTACAGTGTTTGTAAGATAATGCGGAACTGGTCAAGTTTGTGGAATTTAATCGCCGTAACAAACCAAGGGTTCGATATCTCCATATTAATAAAAGTACCGAGATATGAACGAGATAAAGAGGTTACAAGTGGCTTCTGGAATGCATCCTCCTTTCAAAGTTATTCGATAACATGATTTTAAGATTTAGAGGTAGTTGTCACCTACGTGAAAATGAGATAAAAGACGTGGATGTTATGTTTGAGTGAGTGTAAGTGTAAATACTTGATTTGATATGATTTGAAGAAACTGTAAGTCTCGTAACCATTTTAGATGCTGTCGGAGTGTTCCTATTGGCGACAAGTTTTGATGCCGTATGTTAGGCATGGATTCAATTAGCCTGATTTAGTGAGACATGAAGAATAAGATGAGCATAAGACAAGTTAGCGAATTGTCTTCAACTGGTAAGGTAACAGAAAGAAGCGTATATGGTATCCAAAGAATGACGTCGGAAATGCATTCTGGTTGCTTGAAATTTTATCGATTGAGAGAGAGGGGGAGGGAGGGAAGGAGGGAGAGAGGGAGAGGGAGAGAGAGAGAGAGAGAGAGAGAGAGAGAGAGAGAGAGAGAGAGAGAGAGAGAGAGAGAGAGAGAGAGAGAGAAGGAGAGAGAGAAAGAGTGAGTCCTAATCCCATCCCTTCCAACCTACACCATGCCTGAATATCGAACAGTAATAAACATCATCCACAGACTGCAACGCACTTAACACATTATAACTCCCTCACCCACCCTACACTCCTTTCTTCTAGCCTCCAACGACCTGGGGATGTTAGAGGAGGCCCGGGAAGCCCTGAACCACGCGGACGAGGCGCTTACATCTCTTGAAGATCTCGTGTTCTCCATTATCTCAACGACAACGGTCACAAGTACTACCTCAACAACACCCGAAAACACATCTTCGACTGTCGGAGGGAGTACGTTGTCGACGTCTGTTCCTGCATCGTCGACGTCGCCGGCTACAACTACTAATGAAACCACTCCTGTATACCCCACAGGGAATACCATACCATCAACAGAATCGACGGGAACTTCAAGCACAGAAAAACCCGTAACTACGGATAGTACAGAACCTCCAATAACACCAGAACCTACATCAGAACCTACAACAACATCAAAGGTAACAGCAGAGCCAACAACAACGCCAAAAGTAACAACGCCAGAGCCAACCACAACACCAGAAGTGACAACAACGCCAGAACCAACAACACCAAAGCCTACAACAACGCCAGAGCCAACAACAACACCAAAGCCTACAACAACGCCAGAGCCAACAACAACACCAGAAGTGACAACAACGCCAGAGCAAACAACAACATCAAAGCCTACAACAACGCCAGAGCCAACAACACCAGAAATGACAACAACGCCAGAGCCAACAGCAACACCAGAAGTAACAACAACAACAGAAGTGATAACAACGCCAGAGCCAACAACAACACTAAAGCCATCATCAGCGCCTGAAACAACAACACCAGAGCCATCCAACCCGGCCACACGCCTTACATCGTTCCCTGTGATCGAACGGCCTCGCCATCGCCCTCCTCTCTTCTTCCTAGACTTGTACAAAAATAAAGAGAATACTGAAGCCACTACAGCTCCCTCTGAACCGTCAGACTCGTCCTCGGAGAAATCCACGACCATTTCAACCCCCGAAGTATCACCGACGTCTTCAGAACCACCGACGTCTTCAGAACCACCTACGGCTACGACCAAGCAGAGTACGACCTCGGGGCAATCCACGAGCGAGTCAACGACGACCGAGGTGACGACTACTGAAGTGCCTGATCTGAGACCCTGGTACGAAAAAGTTGACAGCACTGTGGACAACATCAGGAACCTGTCGTTGGAGATCCAGGAAGGCTATTTAGACGACTACCAGGCCGAGAGATTGGACAATGAGGCCGCGTTTCTGGAGGCGCTGGTGGCGGAGGGCGAGCAGAACACGAGTCTCGTCCTCGAACTTTCTCCGGAGACGATACAGCTGGTTCAGAACACGTCCGAAACGGTTCGAGAGGCAACCGATGACGTTGCGGCCGAGATCGATGAGATCTTGGTGAGTAATGGCTTGTTTTTTTGTTTTTGTTTTTTGTTTTTTCCTTGTCTCTTGTAAATGTCTTGTCTTTGTCCTGTGGTGTATATATTGTTTTTTTATTATGATTAATATTCCATGTATACATTTATTCTGTACATCATACATGATGATACACACACACACACACACACACACACACACACACACACACACACACACACACACACACACACACACACACACACACACACACATATACACAAAAAAAAAAAAAAAAAAAAAAAAAATCTCGAAATTCCGAAGAAAGAAACAAAAAAAAAATAAATCCATTTCATATTTGCCTACACCAAGTACCACACATCTAACTCCTAATTCCGTCAACAGGGAAACTTAACGACAGTAATTATCGTCTCAGTACTGGTGTCACTGCTGTTCGTGGTCATCTTAATTGCATTGGTGATCATCTTCATCCGACCCTGGAGTGGAGGCTGTGGCAAGCCTAAGAAGGACCTGAGGTGAGATTATGAGCCTGAGAGAGAGAGAGAGGGAGAGAGAGAGAGAGAGAGAGAGAGAGAGAGAGAGAGAGAGAGAGAGAGAGAGAGAGAGAGAGAGAGAGAGAGAGAGAGAGAGAGGGTGGGTGGGAGGGAGGGGTGGAGGAGGGAGGTATATTACATTAATATTAGTACTGATGATAATTAAAATAATAAATAATAGTAACAATAATAATAATAGCAATTATATTACCATTGTTGTTATTACTGTAATAATAATAATTATAATACAATGATGATTGTCATCATCATGATAATAATAATAATAACTGTGATAACAATAATAACAGTGATCATAATGATGATAATGATAACTATGGCATTTGTAATAACAGTGATAATAATAATGATAACAATAATGATAATAATTATGAAAGTAATAATTATGACAATAATAACAGTAATAATGATATTAATGATAACAATATAATTAAAATAATTATTAGAATAATAATAGTAATGATAATAATATGATAATCATATAATCTTAATAATAATGAGAACAATAATAGTAACTATGATGTTAACATTAACATTAATAATAATTGTGATTATAAAGATAATAAAATAATTATGATTTTAATAAGGATATAATAATGACGATCAAGATATTAATGATGACAATAATAATAACATATTAAGTTAATGATAACAGCAACAATAATAACAATAATAATGATAGTGATAATGATAATAATAATAATAATAGTAATAATGTATCTATGATAATAATAATAATTGAGATAATAATGATAATAACCAATAATTTTCATGTTAATTATAATAATTATGATAATAATACTAACAACAGTGATAATGATAATAATAATAACAATAATAATAATAATAATAATAATAATAACGATAAAAATGATGATGATGAACGATAATAACGAAAATCATGATTATAAGAAACATCATTATAATAATATCAATGAGGATAATGATAATGTTAATGATAGCAATAACAACATTAGTAATGATGATGGTGATAGTGATGGTGATGATGATGTTAATAATAGTAAAAATTCAAAAACATCATGATGATAATGATAACGATAATGATGATAGTGATAATGAAAATACTACTCCTATTAATAATAATGATGATATTAATGGTATCACTATCTTCTAGGCACTCTGCTCGCGACGTGGCATTGGACGATGAGTTCCCCAACGCAACCTTTGTACAGCATAATGTGGAAGCGT